GGGGATCCTTGCGGTTGAGGTCCAGGGGTGCACACTGCGATCCGGAGCTGGCCAGACAAGATCGGCGAAGCAGATTGGCGATGAAGATTGGCGAGGAAGGAAGCAAGGAGGAAGGAGGAAGGAGGAGGACGAGGAGGCGGCGGAGGCGGAGGAAGAACAACTGTGATAAAATCTAACAACCCTCACCTGGCAGGTGGGGAATAAGCCAAAATTGTATAACACCTTAAATAGTATATATATATATACATATTCACAACTCTCCAAACGGGTTGGATGGTTGGGTTCTCCCAGGATGCGGCTGATGAAAGACGAGGAATACGTGATTTCCAGCATCGGGGTGCCTGACTCTGTGGACACAACAGAAGCTAAACAAAGATGGTGGGGACTGAGTTTACTGGATGTAGTTACAATTTTGGTTGATGCATATTTACATTGTTGCTGCTCTTAACTCAAGCATGTTACAGGAACATAACTGCACTTGCCTGGTAGAAGAGGTGGAAGATGGAACCGGCCTGCAGTGCAGTAGTTAGTTTTCTAAGGATGGCCGCTGGATCATGATGCCTTTCATGAACAGTGGCAGAAACCTAGCAGCAGTGCCAGTGTTTAAAGTTCTGGACTAACTGTGTCACTCTTTTTGTTGGACGTTTGTCCGATTGCATCCGATTGCCCCGAACCTGAACCTGCTTGTATGCATTGTGTGGTTCCAAGTGATTCGAACTTCCGAGGTTTTTCGGCCCTTTTCAGGGCATGTAGAGACAGCGATGCATGTATGTGCCAGACCAAGGTTTCTCAGCTCTGAATCTGACATGGCAGATTTGTGTGGGTTGAACGGACTGAGTCCTGTTTTTTCCAGTACTTGCAGTGTTTTGCTTTGGGAGTCCTTTTCGGTTGGCCTGGAAACCTCACACATTCTATTCAAATTATATACTGTATTGATTTGAAGCGAATGGGGAATTTGTTTTTCTCTATCCAGCTGATCTCAGGAGCACCCATCGCCGTGCTGGGAGACTATCAGGGAACACGATCTTCTATGGGTGCTGGTTGCCTGGCAAGATGCCTCAGCAAGCCTTAATTATATACAAAAACCAAGAGCCAAGAAACACATGCTGTATGTCAGTTGTGGGCTGTTCTTTGTGGTTGTTTGCGCCTAGAAGTTGCCAGCCGATTCACACGATTCTTGTGATTTTTCGACACGACGACTGGCGAACGGGTCACTTGACCCTTGTAATTATCGCCGATGCTCGGGTCCAAGTCTTTGAAACAAACTTCTATCCCTGTTGGCACTCATCGGCTTCCTGTTGTCATCAGATCTGGGTTCTTTGGCTTGATTGGACTGGCTATAGCAAAACTAGACCCTCTCTCACCTCTTTCTCAGGTGGCAGCAGTCCATACACAAAGCAAAACGCTTTGAGTATAGCTATATAAAGGTATTTCGGTATTTCCCCCAAACGTAAATAGCGCGACTTGCGAATCTGTCCAAGCCACAGCTCATGTTAAGCAGGGGAACTTGCGATCATCTAAGCCACGCACAGTCTCATCGAGCCCCCTCAAACCACATCCTGACCTCAGAGTCAGCCTGCACCTCCCAGCTCGCCGCCAAATCAATGTTAGATCTCAACGGGGATCGATGAAACTTAGCTCGCAGAACATCGTCGACCTTCGCAGCCAACTTCGAAGGCCGACACACCAGCACACCAGGCATCTTCTTGATGACACTGCAATGAGTCAAAATCACACCGCCCCGCGGAACAACCAAACCAAGCTCATCAAAAATACCAAAACAAACCTGCCGAAAAACAGACATCCGGTGTGCCAATGTGCCTCTAAAATAGTCCACCAGTAGATTAGCAGGATCCACCCACCTTCGTGAGACAGGATCTTCTACCGGTATGTAATGGTCAGTTGCTAATCGCCAGCCTATAAACAACTCCAGGAAGGAGACCATGGAAGTACCATCAGACAAACACGCACATCCAACCAACCAGTCAAAAACCGCTAAATAAAGTTGCAATTTAAACTGAAGGGTTCTGTCACTGCTCATTACTGACAACTGGGAGACTGACAGGCTTCATAGCCAAGAACGAATGTTTTCTCAAACATGTTGTGCATCCAGTGGGTGTCAGGCTCTCTTTTACCAAGCGGTTGAAGGCGTGAGTGCGATCCATGCCAAAGGATATGCTGCTTGGATCTTGTTGGTGGATACAACAAGCTCCCAGTGACTAATGATTTACAATAGCTAGCACATCACCGCTTCCGATGTGTTAGCAGATTGAACAGTTCTTGTGCTCTTATCCAAGGCTGCTTTTGCAACCAAAGAATGTATTGCTTCATCAGTGTATGTGCTTGGTGTATTTGCTTTTGTTCGAGTCGAGGTGTCAATTATAAATATTAACATACAAATATATTGCCTTGGGCGGCACCACAATTATGTGGTGACTGCCAAGTGCATTGGCACGCGGCAGACATTTTCATAGGTCTAGTTGATGGCTGGTGGATTGATCGGTTCTCATTGAAATGCAGACAGCAACATGCTTTCCCGCAGTCGGATGATGACTAGACTATAGACAATTTCAATTTTACGGAGCTGGTCACAGTCTGTTTGAAATGCCGCACGAGTTGGAACTTACTGCTTGAACAGCCCAGGTTCACATGGATCTGAAGCTCGACCCCAGGACTGCATTGAATTTTGTTTGACAGACGCAAGCAAGAGTGATAGTTGTTTTATTTTCTCAAGCTTGACCGCCAACAGCCCACCACTAATTCTGACTGAGGAGATTGGGCGAGTTAGGTCTAAGGCCAAGGGCCCATTATTGTAGACTTGCTATGTTGCTGGAATGACTTTGATCATTGCACTAGCAGGGACGCTCTTGTGGGTCCATTTGGTGTTTTTCTTTCAACCAAGGACAATATCATGCTGCAGTGCAAGGGCACATCTTGCTTTGCGAGCATCATCGATCTGGATCAAATGTGCCTGGCTGATGCTACTTGTGCCCCTTTTTTTGTGTCTCTGACAGATTGCCATTGTCGTTGTTGAACCGAGCCAAGAACAGCAGGTTTAAACGGAAGAATGCATTTAGATTGGCTCGTGGAAGAAACAACCATATGTTATGTATCATGACCATGTTCAAGACTGTTGTGCAACTCAGCTGCCCAGGGTTAGTAATTTCGAGACTCGCCACAATTCCAAACTTGTGCAAACTTCAATAATGTTCAGTAATACTGTATCTAATATGTATATATATATATATACTGTATATAGTTACACTTTGTTGTGCATTTATGAAGCCTATTCATGTATTGTAATCTTGTTTTGGTCGTCCGAACCCTACAACGAAAGCTTCAAGGTGCGGACCAGGCGAAGGTGATTGTGAAGGAGGAACAGTAGGGTTCTTTGACGCAAGAGGATGTGAGTGGTGGAGTCACTGGAATAACATGGTCGAAGCCGGCTGAAACCATTGAAAGCTATCATGCTCCCTGGTCTATATAATATAGATGGATCTACATGGCCCCCCAAAGTCATTGTGAATACCGCGAACGACCGCGAATACGGGATGCAGACAATGCAGACTGCAACCTTTTTGAAGAGGTAGATGTTGTTCAGACTTGGAGTTGCTGAAAAAGCCCCTGAAGCGTCGTTGCAGGAGTGGTTTAGTTGTTGCCATATCATGCTTGCAACATGTTGGGAAAACGGGGGGGGTTGCCAGGACAGCAACATGCACAGGGCTAGAAAAGCATGCGCTTTTACAGGGATGTTTGCCTTTCGGGTCACTCAACTTATCGTTTTGGAGTTCAACTCCAAGAAGACGACTTGAGTGGATTTTCAATGAAACAAATGAAACAGTTTAACAATGAAGCCTCCTGAACAAATGACACAGTCGGATCGGAGACACGGGAGCAAACATCAATGTGGGCATCCAAAAAAAGGGGTCAGCCGCGAAAAAATCCATCAGATGCCACTTCAAACCGTACAAGCGCAACAAAAGAACTAACAACAAGCACAAACAAACCTCAAAAGTGGAGCCCGCCATGTCCTCTAAGCCGAAAGTGTATCGCGAGTGTTCGAGTCACGAAGCCGAAGCGCAACACGAATGTCGATTTACGCGAGTAGTAACACGAACGAAACTGTCCCCAGCCCCCCCGAAAACCATGTTGGGTCGGAGAAGGTTTGCTTTCGGGGCAAACCCCCCGTTGACCCAACATGTTGAAACCAACTAGTGCCAGTTGAAGTGCAGGAACATTCCATTTCCTCCAAGCTGTGCAAGTAGATGCGCTAAAATTTGCTCAGTTCAAGATAAGCGATGCAGAAGCCCCTGCTGTCGAAGATCCAGAAAGTTGTCGCCCTCAGGTTTGCTGCACCAGAAGTTCATGAAGGACATCAGGGACTCCCAGCCAATGATGTTTGGTCTATGGGGACAGCAACCTGGTTGGACTGAGTTGAGACTACCCACACCGAGGTCCACGAAAAACTGTGAACGAACACATCTCGATTGGTGCAGCTATTCGAAGCTATTCTTGTTGCTGAGGTACTTTATATTTTACTTTATGGCGAGTGGCCGCCCTACATGGAGTTCTTTTGGAATCCCGACTCAGCAAGGAGATTGTTGACCATCAAGAAAAGATGTGTTCTAAGAAAATTCACACTAAATCTCTGAACCTGAATACACCAAAAAATGAGCCTGTTTGCTCAGGTCAACTGGGTCTCGACTAGACTTGGCTTGTTTGCACTTGGAAGCTAGTGCTTGGCCTGCATCCCGCAGGAAGCAAGCTGCATACAAGCCAGAGGAGGATGCCACAATCCCAAAGAAACGCAGAAGTATCGATAATTTGGTGGTTGAGATGCTGAACACGTGCCTTGGGATCAAGACGGGGCCCGGTGGCCCTTCAATGGTTGCGGGGCAGCATTATTTTGGGCATTTTGACGAGATGTTCTTCCTTTAGGTGATATTGCCCAAATATTCCTGTTTGTTGCATTGCGGTTGAACTGCAAGCAATTTTGCACACTTTGCTTTGTATTTCCAGCACATTTGGTGTGAGAGTATATAATTGTTTTCGGTATCGGTTTCAGAGTATTGCCATCGCGTTGACAATGTTCACATCGTTGTCACTGCCATCACAACATTGTCACGTTCACAACCATGCATTGTCACTGTCATGAGGCGCCCAACCGATTTGAAGTTCTTTCATGATCCTAGAAATGCACCTTCAGCATGCGGGGAAAAATATGTTGACATACAATTGCAAGACAAAACAAGAGCACGATCCAAAGAAACAAGAGAATCATGCAATGCAAGGAAATATACTGTACCTCCAGCAACTCCTGGCATATGCATGGCATACGAAGAAGGCCGCTCTAGCAATCTCTAGCATACATAAATAAAAGCGCCTTCCTAGCATGTAATGGAAAAAGAAGCACCTCCAGCGTGAAAGAATCATCATATATCAGAAACGCTTTGCAGCATACTGAAAATAAGGGTCAGCACAAAGGATACCGCCGTTCTCATTGGAAAATGCCATCGTCTAGACCCTTAAAGTCTTGCGTAACTTAAAAGAAACGGTCACTTTGAAGCGGACCTATATCAAACGACATTGGTGCTGCAAGACACCGTGTGGCACTAGTTCAGGACGTCCCTAAAGTAGATTTCAATCCAGACAGAATTGCAATGTGAGTACAGACTCAGTGCAATTGAGGACATGTGCAACAACAGCCTGTTGTGCTGCCCCTGTATGCTGAGTCCACAATGAAACAAGCATGGAAGCTGCTCTATGGGCCGTGCACCTTGTAGTTTGGCAAAGGTTCTGCTATAAGATGCTATAAGTATGTTACGGTATGTTGCTAGTTGTATGACACATGTCATACTTCATATGCAGATATTCGACGGTGCGCATGGTCCTCGAACAAACGTGACCCCGCTGGCTTCCGACACAAGAGTCAGAGAAAGATGAACAGAGAGAGGTCGGAAAATCTTGGGTTGTAGACTGTACGCGAAGAGAGACACAACCTGAATAGTTCAGTGGAGTTTTGCAACCTGTTTTTTGCTAACCATTTCAGGTTTGATGTCAGAGAGCATGAAAGCGCCACATTCAAAGTGGCCATGCATTCCAGTTGCTATACCATGGTTGAAAGCTACAAGAAGATGACATTTCATGTCGCAAAGTGTACTGGCTGAAAATAATAACAAAGAAGCATGAATTTCTCCATCAATCCCAAGTCGTGAACTGGCAGCTGAGGAACTACGAAACACGCATCAGCCTTGAGGAGGCACATACAGTAGTTCGCATCTCTCAAGACCTCCATAGCTCTCAATTTGTCCGTGTGCCATTTTACGTATTGCTGAATATGATTATGATCATTTTGTATGCTGGCTGTCCGGTCATCACCAACAGAAGATTATCCCGGCAAGAGACCCTAAACAGTGTTGCCCTTGAAGTCTAGAGGTCTGGTTCTACTTGTAGAGTTAGCAGGTTTTGATATCCAGATCCAGCGAGATCTAGAAGTCTAGAGTCTAGAGTTCTAGAGGTAGAAAGATCTACAGTAAATGGCCAAGAGATGCACAGTACTCTCGAGGCCTAGAGATCTAAAGGTTTGCACATTGTTATAACATTGTGTATATATATATATATTGCCTAACCAAAACCTGTGTATGTTATTTATAAATTGTGCAAAACTTATACCACTTGCTAACACTTAAAGTACTTGGCTCAAGTTAGGCCAGGGCACATTGACTAGGTTATAGAACAAGTTGTTATAACAGCTTTGAAGTTCGCTGCGAAAACATTCATCCGTCAGCGTCCGTTGGCGCCATGTTATTCTTTTTCCGCAATCGCGTCCGTCAAACCATCCCCCAACTGTTGCAATGTACATGTTGTGATTTTGTTCGGCTAAATGCGTATGGCTCGCCGCACAAGGGACATGGTGATTGATGTGGCTGCCCGTGGCTGGTTTTCCCATTTTTCATGAGACAACGTAATCCATGACACGTGCACACACACACACTCTGACACTTGTATTCAGTGACTCAGTTACCACGATGGGAAGGATGGCGGTGGAACAGTATGGCGAAAAGTCCGAGAAATTGTAGGTGTTTGAACAAAGGTTGTTTCCCTTGACTGCGACGACAAGCTGCAAAAGACCGCGGCTGCTGAAAGTGGCTGAGAGACCTGTTTTGGGGGTGGAAGCATGAAGAACCATGGAAACAAAAAGAGCAAATTGGACAGCGTGTTCAACAGTTCCAAATTGTTGCAGGTACACACGGGTGATCAATCCGTGCTTCCCACTCCACCGCCACTTCCTTCACAGATTTTCCACCACCTTTCACATGCTTGGGCACTGAGCACTCCTTGGCAAACTCAGTGCAACGAAGCTATGCCTTGGAACCCTTTGTCCAGGGGTGGACACACACAGAGGTCGCCGTCGTCGGCGCTTTTTCACAAAACGGTGGCACGCGTGGTGGTTGTGTCCTTTTTGGACATAGAGCCTCACTAGCTCGGCAGCAGCAGCTTCAGCGCTGGAGGGTGGAAATGTGTATTTTCGAATGGTGTGGAGTCTTGATTGGAGGCCTGACAGAGCCAAGCGCTGGCTCCCGGCGGTGGTGGAATCCCTGATTTTCCAGGGTTGGGAAGGTTGCATGTAGGTGATGGTGCGTTGTGGGAGGTCGATGTTGAAACCTAGGAGATGGAAGTCCTCCACCGGTTCGAGTTCCACTGGGTCGCCAAAGAAGTTGTGGTGGATGAAACGGTTGTCGACATATCGATAGTAAGTGAAGTGTAGGTCAGTGTGTTGAAGTAAGTTGTTGTGGATCTGATGCCAGGAATGTTCTATGAGGGTGATGGCGACATTGCAAAGGGCTGGAGAGAGCTGGGATCCAATCCCAGCTCCTCGGATTTGCTTGTAGGTGTTGTTGCAAGCCCGGAAAATGCACGTGTTGAGGGTAAAGGCCACGATGGTGGTGATGTCTGATGTCTGGATGGTGCGTTGTGTAGGGTGTTTTCGATGGTGTCTGCCAATGTGAGAGTGGTGAAAAGGGTTGCCGGTAGCCTGGACATCCACCGTCAGGGTGTGTGTGGATTGCTGTTGTTGCCAGTGTTGAATGAGAGAGTGAACTGCATCGATGAGTCGGTGTTGTGGGACCGAGTTAAAGAATCCGACCAGGTCATCGTTGGTGGCGTGCAATGAGATGTCTGGTGGGGTTTGGGTGAGGTAGCTGTGGAAATGGCGCCAAAGTTGGGGAATAGACATTTGGCCGGGATGTTGGGGGTAAAGGTGTTGAAGGATAATGTCAAGGGCACGGCTGGTGATGCGGAGTAGATTGCCACTGAGTGATTGGAAGTATGAGATAATGGCGCGGCCTTTCTGCCATTGCTTCTTTTCTTTGAGGTGGACGACGCCGTAGGGAATGTTGAAATCTTTGCGGAAGCCCCATTTGTAGCGGGTGCGCAAAATGGGGGGAACAGTGGCTGCCAGGTGGTCGTGGATGTTGGCGGCAGTGAGGTGGGGAAGTGGTTCGAAAAGTTCGGGGGATTGCCATGTATTCAAAGCGCCAGTGAAATACTGGCGGGGGCAGAACAGCCGGAGTTAGTTCATGGTCGGCATGGTGAAGCACTGTGTGTTGGCCGAGGTATTCTTGGAGTTGGCGAAGCAGGCGAGCCGTAAAACGGGGTTGCTGCTTGAGGTGCATGTTGTGGAGGCGCCACTGGTGCTCGAGAAATGGCTGCAAGTGTTGTACGAGGGATGGTGGGAGCCCTTGTAGCTTGAGCCATTTCGTGTAGGCCGTCCGGAACGTGAGGAAGTATCGGGCCTTGCTTGGGTAGTAGGTGCTGTTCATGTTGGCGTTGAGAAAGATGCCAAGATGTGTAGGGAGTTGGAGTTGATCAAGTGTAAGAATGTAGTGGCCGTTGGTGGTGGGTGTGTCAGGATCCTGCAGGAGAGTACGAAGATGGCCACATGCGCAGGGGAGGTCTGCGGGATCTGGCGGGGAATGGAGGGCGTCTTCCCATGCGCGGTGGTTGTGTAGGTGGGAACGTAGGGTTTTGTGTGCGGCTTCGCGCAGTCGGTGGGAGGGGAGGTGAAGGGGAATGGTCAAGTGCTTGCGCTGCTGAATGGTAGTACGGAGCCATTGTTGGCAGTGTTTGGTGAAATCGTCGTGGGCCAGAAATGGCACTGTCAGTGGAATATTCGGTTTTGGCGGCGTGAGGTTGCGGTAGAGGAGGGCTTTGTTGATGATGTGAAGAGCTCTGCTGCGGCCGGGTTCCTCAAGGTTGGCGGCCATACGCCGGATGGCGTAGACTTCAAGGTCCGTGTGACGGCCGCTTCGTAGCTCTTTGGCTGCTTCAAAGGAGGCTGCTGTGTGTTTGGTAAGGTTGCGGAGAAGTTGGAGGGCGTGATGCTTGGTGGAGGTGTAAAGGTGTGGTTCTCTGAGTGTGTACTGGCGTTGCCGCAGGCGTCGAAAGAGTCGTTTGTGGGTTGCTAATCTGGAGTAGAAATGGGCTCTGTGTTTGGTGAACTGCCAGCCTTGAGCTTTGAGCTTGAGGTGGTGGGAGATAAAGGGCCAGTTGAGTGTAGGCATCCAGTTTGCGATGTAGTGGTGTTCTTGGATCCAGGCTTGGTCGTATTTGTCGTGGGATGTAAGTTGGATGGTAGTGTAGTGGTGGATGTTGTTGTGTGAGTGCCAATAGCGTAGGGAGAGTTCTGCAGAAATGGGGATGTTGTTCTGGAGTTGTTTGAGTTTGGCACGGCGGTTGTGTTCGCGGTGGGGAATGCCAATGGCTGTGGAGCCCACATAGAAGTGGCCATGTTGATGGTAGCAGCGTTGAGGTTGGTCAGGGTTGAAGTGTAGCTTGATGTAAACTGAATTGGAGGAGAGGAAGTTGTGGTAGTGGTATGTGTGGGGTAGGGGGGCGTGGAAGGCTCGGGCCTGTGTTGTCTTGCTGGGAATGTCGGTGCCCTGTTTGGTGTGGAGGGTCTCAGCGATGCCGTCTAGGTCCAGGCGTTTCTCGCGGAGCTCTTGGAGAAGGTGGGTCACGAAAACCGACTCCGCAATATTTTCCGTTGCTAAGAGTGCGGGCGGTAAATTCGGAGGTGCCATGGTACGCCAGTTGCCATGGGAAGATGTCAAAGGTCGGAAGCCCTGCCACTCCTGCTTGTCGAGACCACTGTGTGGGTTGGATTGTACGGTATAGTTGGTGGCCGTGCAAGGTGTTGGAGTCCCAATGGTGGTCGGTTTGGTTCCAAGAGTCTTGGACGGGTGGAGTGGGGGATGGGATGTGAGGTGGCGGTGGAGCAGGTGCCGTGCCGGCGCGGGCAGCTGGCGGTGGTGGTGGGCTGTGCTTGTAGGTCGATGGTGGAGTGACTGGGTCGGCTGTGGGGAGTGGTGGTGGGGGCGGAGGTGGGAACTCCGGCTGTGACGGCGGTGCCTGTTGTGGCGGTGTGTGCTGCGGTGGTGGTGTGTAAGGTGAAGTCGTGTATGGATGAGAGTGGTGGGCCTGATGCGTGCGGAGTGCGTGAGTGAGTGGGCCATAAGTGCCGGTAGGGTTGTAGGTGTGGTGAGTTGCAGTGGGAGGTGAAACCGTTGTGTCTGGGTTGGCAAGCTGCTGATGATGCTGCTGTTGAAGCAAGTAATGATTCCAGTAATATTGTTGCCACTGCGCGTCCATGGTGGCTGGTCGAAGTGCCACTGGATCGTGGAGGCGAAGATCACGGGTTGTTGGTTTGAGCAAGCTGAAGGCGCGGGGAGGAAAGGTCAAGAACAGGTGTCAATCAGTGCATAGTGGCTTCCAAATGGCAGTGTCGAACAGTCATGAAACTGTCAGATATAGTTAGAGGTCGGATACGGAAAGGAGTTGTGTCACGCAAAGGTAATGTGAGAATGTCGCTGAAAAAGTTAACAAAAAACTGGCTGGGTCCAAGTATAATCAAAATTGATGAGCAAGAAAGGCAGCTGAAGGCACAAACTGGTTTTTTCGTTGTGCAGGGTGAAACAAGTTGTCTCTGTCCGAGGTCTCAGGGGAAAACTAGCTTCCGAAGATGATGGTCGACGTAGAACACCAGGCTGAAACAAAAACAAGAAAAACACCCAGTGTGAGAGATGGTTGTTGGCATGTAAATCATCAACGGATAAAGCACTGTGGGTAGCTCAGAGTCAGCCGCCGCATGGTCAGTGATTGTCCGCGTGCCAGGGATCAGTGCGAGGATCGTAATCTTGCTCAGACTGAGGCAGGGGGCGCCCCTGCTTGTCCACCCGTGTGGTAGGAGGGTGGAGCATG